CACTCCTTGAACTGTCCATTTCCAGGATTCATTGGCTGAGACTAGTAATGAATTTTTCCTCCTCTTTTTCAGGAATGCTTCATTACATGAGCAGACTTTCCTGAAAGCAGTTCTAGCAGAGTTTCGCAGGTCAGGGCTCGAGGAGGCAACAGTTCAAGAGGTACACTTTCTTTTTCTTTTATGTAAACTGAATGCTAGGTTTTTGCCTTAGCTGTTTGATGCTTATAACATGTGAATGCATCAAAATCAATCCTAAGGAGCAAAGATGATGAAAGATGACACAATGATGGGTGAGATAAACTTTTCTGTAATAAAATTAGAGAATGAGCATGGAAATGTTTTAGAAAAAAGGACTGTGGATGCTGGCTTCCGCATTTTGTGTGCGTTAGTGTCCATAGTAAAGAGAACTTAGCTTACAACTTACTTGATTAACAAACTTCAGCTGTTCTGTTGATTATTAGTCTCTGTCATCTTTCATCCTAACAGACTGAAAGGTTTAACTCTCTCCCCTGCTCTGTGTATATTCTTATTCCAATCTAATAGATTGACCAAACTGAACTGTGTCTTGTTCTTTTAGGTCTATCGTCAGCATGTGGCACTGTGTAGGATTGAAGGCCTGCAAGTTCCTACAGTTTCAGAAATTATGGCCATTTGCTCAAGGCTTGGTGCCTGCCGGCTCTTGCTAGTAGAATCCAGTAATAAATACTTCCATATGCGGGTGCGGCTGAACATCAGTCAGGATGATATTATGTATGCTCTCAAGGAGAAATAAGACAACTGATTTTTATATTTATATGTATATTTTAAATATTGTCAAGGCTTTTATGAATTATTTTTTAAAAATTTGGATAAAATTTGGATATAATGAAAACTGTTGTATGTTTGCTTTTTCTAATCTCTTTGCTATTTTAAACCATCTTTTGTATAATAAAGATTTTTCTGCAAAGCATTTTAAACCTTTGCATTCAAATCTACTTCTATATAAAAATAACACCAGGATTTGTACCAATGGTATATTCAGTAAATGGCATACCCCACCCCTCTTTGTCCCCCTCCCCTGGAGCCCCAGGAATGCACCAAATGCCTCGGTAATATGAGAGCAGCAGAGGCTGTCTTCTCTAATACATTAAAAAAATATTCTTACCACTTGTGTCAGGAAGAGATGCTGATATACGTTGTGCTGGAATAGGGCTCTCATTACTAAATGGCAGGTTAGGTCATTTTCCCTCTGCAGTTTCACTGGATGAAGATCTAATTTAAAAAAGGTGCCAAAATGTTGAACTTAAATTTCCTTACGTATTGCTTATGCGTAGGCAGAGGTTGGTAACCTTTTAGGAGTGGAGGGCTGAACTAACAGCTCAGCCTAAAGACAGACAGCCACTTCCTACCCTGCTGCTGCTGTTTTCTCCACCCCTGGCATGGCTGCTGCCAGTGTTCTAGCTTCACAGGCTTGATGCGATTGCTTAGCGGGCCAGTCCCAGCCCACGGGCCATAGGTTACCATCCCCTGGCATAGTAAAAATGCATCCAGCTCACTAGAACACGAGGGAATAATGGTGAAAGCACGAGAGTAACGAGACCTGCAGAAATTCTTTTAATCAAAGACCCAACTTGACCTTTCACTTCGATTCTCTCGGTCGGAGAATCGGAATTGCCTGTAATGCAATCAATGAATGGTGTCCAAGTATTGATTTCAACAGGGAATTGAATTGAGAAATTTACTCAAACTACCTTCGCTGTTTTATGACTCCCGCAAACACTGCAAAGACGTGTTGCTGTGAACTAGGCTTCAAGAACCGGTGTCGGCTTCTGATAAGTGACCCGCGTTGAGAAATGGAGAAGTGGGCAAAGTGGAAAAAGTGGCAGGTTTTCTTCATAATAAGAAGCGGGACAGGGAAGTAAGACTTTGTTCGTTACAATCCTAGCCGCCTTAGTAATTTCTTCCCTCCCATATAGCTGTGGAAACCCGGCTTCCTTATGTCCTAAGACTTTATGGTGGGCTAAACACTTCGCAGCAGCTTCAGAAAAGTTGAAATACGGATGTTAAACGAGGAAAACCATGAACAATCCTGTGGGAGGGTTTCGTTTGTTTGTTCTTATTCTGCTCTAAAACCTCAGCCTCACTATGGGTCCCATAACAGATGCATTGTGGGGCTGTGGAGGTGTAGTCAGAGGGCTGGGATCCCACAACAGGTGCACTATGGGACTGTGGAGGTGCAGCTGGAGCGATGGACCCTGCCAGAGGTGCATTGTGGGACTGAAGGTGCAGTGGGAGGGTTGGGAATCTCACAACAGGTGCATTGTGGGACTGTGGAGGTGCAGCCAGAGGGTTGGGATCCCACAACAGGTGCATTGTGGGACCGTGAAGGTGCAGCTGGAGTGTTAGACCCTGCCAGAGGTGCATTGTGGGTCTGTGGAGGGGAAGCCAGGGGGCTGAGATCCCACAACAGGTGCATTGTGGGACTGCGGAGGTGCAGCGGGAGGGTCTGGCCGGCGGTGCTCCCGGGGGCTGTGGGCAGCTGACGGCAGGGCCGAGCAACTCGGTGAAGCGCGTGGCTGTGGCTCTGCCGGGAAGTGCGCGGTGCTGCCACCCCGCCCGAGGGAGAGAAATCCCCGCGGGCGGGACCCGGCCTGGCCCCGCCCCCCGCGCTGGCCCCGCCCCCGCCCCGTCTGCGCAGGTGGGCCCGGGCGGCCTGTGCGCCTCGCACCCCGCGTCGGGCTGGGGCTGGGGCGCCCAGACAGGGCGAGAGAGAGTGTGTGTGTGTGATGTCATGTGCCTGTCTGTCTGTCTGTCAGGGGAGAAGGGTGTCTGATGCCTGCGTGTGCCTTGTGTGTCTGTGAGGTGATGTGTGGGGTGTCTCGGGGGGGGGTCTGGTGTGTGTGCACGCCTGCGTGTGTGTGTCTGTGGGATGTGATGTGTGTGTGTGGGGGGGGGTGCCTGGTGTGCATCCCCAGCTGTGTGTGTGTGTGTGCCTGTGGGGGGACAGTGTGATGTGTCTGTGGGGGTGGTCTGGTGTGTGTGCACACCTCTGTGTGTGTCTGGTGTGTAGGGGGAGGTGTCAGGCTCCCGTGTCTGCCCACGGTGGGGAGGAGGAGGAGCAGTGCCCCCGGGCGGGCCGTGGCTGCAGTAGCCTCTGGGGCGGCCCCTGGGCTCTGTCTGGGGGGGGCGGGGGGTGGTCAGCCCCAGCCGTGTGATCTGCAGCCCAGGTGCTTGCAGCAACTCTGCCCAGCTCCTAGGAGTCCTGAGCAGGCTGCTGCGCCTGGCTTGCCGTCTGGGGAGGTTTTGGCCTGTGTCACACCAGGCGTCTGCAGCCTCACCTGTGCCTCCATCTCACTTTGTTCAGGGCGGCATCTTCAGAAGTTCAGGAGCCAACATGATCAGCCGGAGACCCAAGAAAAGCCCCCAGGCGAAAGGCCAGGGAGCTGCTGCGGCGAAGCAGGTAAGGGAAGGTCTCGCACCACCAGACTGGCACTCGCAGTGCCACCCTCCCTCATTGACCCTGCGATGCCTGCTACTTAATGAGTTCTCTGCTTTTCCCCAACCTTGTGGGTCTTTCCTTGGCAGTGGCAGGGAGCTGATGCCAGCTATCGCAGCAATCAAGGCATTAGAAATAGACCGGCTGCAAGACTTGTTGTCTCAGTGTCTTGCTCTCTGCCTGCCTGATGACTCATTCCTACGATAAGGCTGTGCCGAAGCCACTTTGAAATTTCTCTAGCATCTCCCTAGATGCTGGTTAGACTTGAGAGAGCTGGAGCTCAATCAGGACAGAATCCAGGTGCGAGCCTAGGGAGGGGACAGGGTGTGCCTGGAGATAGCGTGGAGTTGTCAGGGAATAGTTTTAGGTGAAGCTTTAAAAATGAGAAGGAGCTTAAAAGTCAGTGTGAGATAGGAAAGCAAATATATTTGGTATCAGGTAAATATGGAGATGTTTGCTATGACTTGTGGTGATAGGAAAGGGAGGTTGGAATTAAAAAACAAAACAAAAACCAGAAAGATGGGAAGTTAAATGAAGAAACTATGGACTGATATGTTTATAATAGAGTTACAGTTGACCCATTTTCAGTCAAGCCCCTAATGCAGCCAGGTAAGCTGGAATCAGACAGAGCTCCAAGAGCATAGTAGTTGTGTGTGGGTGTTTTTTTCCAACGAGCTGAACTAGAAATGCTTCTTTCTCTTCTCTGCATGTCTGTTATTGCATCCATAATTGCATCAGGTTAGTACTGTACTACAGTCTACATTTCAGAATTAAATATATGTTTATGTATGCTACTTACATTTTATCAAGAAGAAAAGATGCAAAGAGTGAAGAAAATCAAAGAAGTTAAAAGACTAAACAGTAAATCCAAGATTTTGAAATGGACAAGATATTCAGGCCTCCTGGCAAATGCACGCTAGTTTCTTGCACTGTATTTTCCAGTATCTTGTTAATTTGCAAATGATCCCTGCTCTGGACTGCTTTACATTATATCTGCTATGCACTGTTCTCTACGTCAGTCTGAAGTGCTTCCCCATGCTTTCCCTAGAATACCTGTTTGATACCTGATGAGTTTAGCAAAAGCTTAATTTATGGTGACAGTGAGGAACTTGGAGCCAGAACACTGGTGTTACAGGTCATTTGTAGTGTGACAATGAGCAGATCAGACACAGGTCTGCCCCTGATTACTCGTTTGTAAAAGGTACGCATTATTAAATAGAGCTTTGTATCTTCAGTGCATTAAACAAACATTGGGCAAAAATTTTCTCAGTTTTCTTCCCTGTTTATCTGGAAGAGAGAGAGGAGTAGCAGCAGTAGCCATACTGCTGGGGATTATCCAGAGACATGTAGTGAATCAAGGGTAATACCAGGCTTAGTAAATTAATTACTGACTCTCTGTTCTGTGCCTGATGCTCTTCATCATGCTATCTTGCGTTAATACCCAATCCAAAGGGGTGAATTAAACTCAGTTCATAGTTATAATGCACTTTGAGTTCCTTGAATAAAAGGTGCCACAGAAATGGAACGTTTCTGGATCTTGTCCCATCACAAATCATCCTGAGAGACTTACATTTTGGGATTTTTTTGTGTCTAAGTTTATCATAGAACAACTCCCATCCAGGAGAGCACAATACAGCTGCAGATGCTCTCTCTGCCTTTGACTTTGTCATAGAAAAACTAACATATGCAATATGCACGTATTGGACTGTGCAGCAGCATTTTTGTTTAGAATTCCTTTATGCAGCTTCAGGTAGAGGCTAAATAACGGTAGATAATTTCAGCTTTCCTGTTTTGGACACTTATTTTTCAGTTCTGAGTCTAAGTTCAGCTGGGGCGATATTATGACAAGCAACATTCAAGGAAGTGGTGGTATTTTTTCAGTAGGTGACATTCTTTCTCTGTATCGGTACTGAACCCGTACTCTAATGCTGTGGTTCTCAACATTTTTAGGCTTGAGACGCTCCTCAGTAGTCTAAAAGCACCCCTTAGAAAATGCCAGCTTACTTTTCACTCCTTTTTCACTGCAGAGAAAAAATAGAGCAGTTTTTCTGTTGTGGCAAACTCAGGTCAGAATGGCTTTAACACTATGGATTCCTATTTGAAATCTGGGTTTATTTTGTGAATCATGTTTGCACATGCTGCAGCACCTTGGTTGAGCGTCAGTGCTCTAATGTCATGGAATACTAGACTTCCAGACGTGCCACCTTTTAAAGCAGCATTTCTCAACCATTGGGTCTCAAGAATATTTGAAAGAGTCACAAACAGACTTTAAAAATGGGCCAACAAACATTAAAAATAGATTCTTCTATAAAGGAGAAGAATGTGGGAAACTGTGGCTTTTCTCTTGCAGGCTGGCAGAGTTTCAGACTGCAAGGGGCTGCTACTCCCTACCCCAC